CTGGAACACATGCGAGTTATCTGCGATTTTGTAAAGTATTCTGCCTGCCGTTTCCTCTTCAAACTGCCAACCTTTCCAAAACATTGAGGGTTATCTTAGTAACATGTTATTCTTCTGAATGTATTAAAGATTCATTGAAACCAACCATTCTCTACAAATTAGGTGAGGTGAGTCTAGAGCGTTTTCACAAAAGTGACCTTCTTCAGCACTAGGTTTACAGAGTATAGATTCCAGAACCAAGCGGGTTATTGTGTGAAGGTGTGGAAATTCACCAATCTCCCATAGTTTTTTAAGTGTGTGCTAATCATGATGGCATACTGTCAATCAAAAGCGCATTTTTTACCAAAAAAACATAAACATATAACAACGATAAGCACGCTCAAATAGACGCGTTCGCTCACGTTCCCGTTAGTGCTGTTAACGATGTCAATCCACAGCACATTTTTTACTATTAATTTGCTCCACCTCGCTCTTATTAGGTCGTCCAGAAAGTTTTTGGGCATGAATTTCAATTCATAACTTCTGATTTTTCCAACCGATTCGACTGCTTTCACTTTTATGTGAAAGGGTAAGTCATCCTCTTTATAACGACATCTCAGTGCTTAGTAATGGTCGTCTGTTGCATAGATAGGAGCGATAGAAGAAAAATGGTCAAAATTTGATTTTTCCGTGTAGGGTCATAAAAAATCGGAGACTTGCAACAAAAATCGGAGCAGTCAGTATTGTAGGTTCTTTCACCAGCTCTCTTTAACAGTTCAAAGTTTGCGCCGATTGAGCGTCTCCATGAAAAGTTATGATTTCCCTGAAAAATGCCAAAATAAATCAAATTCGCCTTTTTGTATTGCTTGCTCGGAAATCATAACTTTTCATGGAGACGCTCAATCGGAGCAAACTTTGCACTATTAGAAAGAGCTGGTGAAAAAACCTACAATACCGACTGCTCCGATTTTTGTTGCAAGTTTACGATTTTTTATGACCCTACACAAAAATTCAAATTTTGAGTAATTTTGGTTTTGAGTTTCTATCTATGCAACAGATGACCATTACTAAGCAGCTGAGATGTCATTATAAAGAGCATGACTTACCCTTTCACACAAAAGTGAAAGCAGTCAAATCGGCTGGAAAAATCAGAAGTTATGAATTTTTGAAAATTGTGCGCAAAAACTTTCGGGACTACCTATACAATGTGTTGGCTTTTATGGGTCACCGGAGCAAATGATTTTTAGAGCCGGGAAGCAAAGAAGCCCTAACATGCTGTATACCATTCGAAAGCTGAGATCATGGAGAATCGACGTAGACCGTCGACTTTTTTCTAGGTCTTCTGTGCCGCGAGATATGAGGGATTCTGCTCTCCAAATGAGTGCTACGAGGAAGTCGACGGTCTACGTTTGTTAATAAAGACTTGCTCTTTAACACAGATAGATAATCAGCAGTGATTATGTCTTCATTTGGCAGAAATCCGCTGTTGAAAATGACCATGTTTTCAGATAAAATGCAATGTATCTTTCGGTAGAGGGGGGCTAGAAAGAAGTCGACGGTCTAGATCGAATCCCCTTTTCCTGAGCTTTCGAATGGTATATAGGTTGCTGGGCGAAAAAACTAACCAGTTTTCAAAAATGGGGTGGAGATATTTACTATTAGCGAAGCTCCACCCAGCTCCACCAATGTATTGGCTTTTATCGGTTACCGGAGCAAATGATTTTTAGAGCCGGGAAGCAAAGAAGCCCTAACATGCTGTGTACCATTCGAAAGCTGAGATCATGGAGAATCGACGTAGACCATCGACTTTTTTCTAGGTCTTCTGTGCCGCGAGATATGAGGGATTTTATGTGCTTCGAAAATTAACTGATTTTGTGTCCTCACTTTCTGCTCTCCAAATGAGTGCTACGAGGAAGTCGACGGTCTACGTTTGTTAATAAAGACTTGCTCTTTAACACAGATAGATAATCAGCAGTGATTATGTCTTCATTTGGCAGAAATCCGCTGTTGAAAATGACCATGTTTTCAGATAAAATGCAATGTATCTCTCGGTAGAGGGGGGCTAGAAAGAAGTCGACGGTCTAGATCGAATCCCCTTTTCCTGAGCTTTCGAATGGTATATAGGTTGCTGGGCGAAAAAACTAACCAGTTTTCAAAAATGGGGTGGAGATATTTACTATTAGCGAAGCTCCACCCAGCTCCACCAATGTATTGGCTTTTATCGGTTACCGGAGCAAATGATTTTTAGAGCCGGGAAGCAAAGAATCCCTAACATGCTGTGTACCATTCGAAAGCTGAGATCATGGAGAATCGACGTAGACCGTCGACTTTTTTCTAGGTCTTCTGTGCCGCGAGATATGAGGGATTTTATGTGCTTCGAAAATTAACTGATTTTGTGTCCTCACTTTCTGCTCTCCAAATGAGTGCTACGAGGAAGTCGACGGTCTACGTTTGTTAATAAAGACTTGCTCTTTAACACAGATAGATAATCAGCAGTGATTATGTCTTCATTTGGCAGAAATCCGCTGTTGAAAATGACCATGTTTTCAGATAAAATGCAATGTATCTCTCGGTAGAGGGGGGCTAGAAAGAAGTCGACGGTCTAGATCGAATCCCCTTTTCCTGAGCTTTCGAATGGTATATAGGTTGCTGGGCGAAAAAACTAACCAGTTTTCAAAAATGGGGTGGAGATATTTACTATTAGCGAAGCTCCACCCAGCTCCACCAATGTATTGGCTTTTATCGGTTACCGGAGCAAATGATTTTTAGAGCCGGGAAGCAAAGAATCCCTAACATGCTGTGTACCATTCGAAAGCTGAGATCATGGAGAATCGACGTAGACCGTCGACTTTTTTCTAGGTCTTCTGTGCCGCGAGATATGAGGGATTTTATGTGCTTCGAAAATTAACTGATTTTGTGTCCTCACTTTCTGCTCTCCAAATGAGTGCTACGAGGAAGTCGACGGTCTACGTTTGTTAATAAAGACTTGCTCTTTAACACAGATAGATAATCAGCAGTGATTATGTCTTCATTTGGCAGAAATCCGCTGTTGAAAATGACCATGTTTTCAGATAAAATGCAATGTATCTCTCGGTAGAGGGGGGCTAGAAAGAAGTCGACGGTCTAGATCGAATCCCCTTTTCCTGAGCTTTCGAATGGTATATAGGTTGCTGGGCGAAAAAACTAACCAGTTTTCAAAAATGGGGTGGAGATATTTACTATTAGCGAAGCTCCACCCAGCTCCACCAATGTATTGGCTTTTATCGGTTACCGGAGCAAATGATTTTTAGAGCCGGGAAGCAAAGAATCCCTAACATGCTGTGTACCATTCGAAAGCTGAGATCATGGAGAATCGACGTAGACCGTCGACTTTTTTCTAGGTCTTCTGTGCCGCGAGATATGAGGGATTTTATGTGCTTCGAAAATTAATTGATTTTGTGTCCTCACTTTCTGCTCTCCAAATGAGTGCTACGAGGATAAATAAATAATGTAAATAAAAATAAATACCGTTTCTTTAGTAAATTTATGAGTGTACTTGTTGTTTGAGGTACTTAGCCTGCAAAACCTTTTAATAACAATTTTTATCATATTCTCAGAGTACAATACCAATCTCAGCCCAGGTGAAGGGGGTCATCGGGAGTTTGGCCTCAAAGTGAAGGGGGTAAGATCCATCACTCCCCCTATCGCAACTATGCTCAAAAGTGGGGTCCTTGAAAATTCGCTAAAACTTGGCCCGCAGGGGTTACTTGACGATGATTATGAATATGTTACTAATTACGCTTCGTAGAGCCTTTATGTCATGCCTACGATAGGCAAACGAGATTACCGTGGGGGGGGGGGTTCGGCTGTTGTGTGCCCCCCTTGCTCACCCTATTAATAATGACACCTTGAATGCAGAATGTGCAGAAAAGGACAGAGTGTAAGCAGCAGCGACAGCGTACGCTTACGGCTTACGCTGTCTAGATTCGTCCGAACGAGGCGAAACGCAAAAAAGGGGCGGGGCGCAAAAGGAATCAAGCACGTTTCCACCCCTTGAAAAACATTGACCGGACCAATGCAGCTGGTCTTCTTCTGGGCCCTACATATACACCGTGAGGAGAACTGGGTAGCATATTTGGGTGCGCTGCCTTTAAGGAACGAAAATACCCGCTTTGAGATCACAGGTCAGCACCAAGAGACATTACTAGAAGAGGCAAAAAGTTACTTTTGCCGAAAGTATATGATTTTGCAAGAGCAACAAATACGGCACCGCAGTTTTTTCTAAAAGCAAGGAGCACAGACAAATCCTGCGTTGCAAACTATATCCAGGCACTCTTAAAAGTTCGAACAAGACAAGGCTATTACGCGTATGCTCTAACACGATCTCACACAAAGCAATTATTCAGCGTTTCGCCTCTGAGGCTGGGTTCATAGTGATCTGAAAGTTGCGGAACAGTTCCAGCACAGCGCACACTTCGAGCGCTGTGCTGGAACTGTTCTCGTAATCACGGCTCAGTAATCAGGATCAGTGAAGATTCCTAGCCGGACGAACAACCGTCTTGTGCAAACCAAGGCGTAATGATACTCATCTTAGTGTGCAGACGCGCATGCTGGACGTCGAGCGATAAAGAAAATGAAAAATTAGTGAACGCCGTATCCAACTTTTCGTCAATTAGCTGAACTCATTTCAGGTTTCGAGCCCGGCCTCAGGATGATACTGACCAAGCGGGAGCCGGCCCTTTGCTCCCATAATTTTTCGCAATTTATTTCATGAATTGTGTCTGCACGTTAAAACTTCGTACTAGCACAAAATGGTCCTTGGTAGATATACTGCTCCAATTGTAAAGCGCCCTAAGCAAACCAACGCGAGAGTGATGTTTTTCTTTTTCGATACAAGTATTAATAAAATAAGTCAAGTGGGTGTAAAACACCTCAGGTAAGGTGTCACACTATATCACCTTACCACGATTTCTCGTTGTAAGCTTCTGGTTCTATGATGTATGTATTAGTCGTCTGAACTGCACGATAATAGTGTTTCAAACCTGCGTCATCGTCGTCAGTGAACTGCTCTATGCGGTTTGCGCCGAAACACACGGGCATAGCTTCACCGCCACTCTGCTACGCCGTGTCACTCTGAAACTCACAAATAATTTGAAATATATTGCACACTGTACATTGTCATAGTACACTGTATAGTACAAAGCACTAAGAATGAGGTGAGAAAAGCGTTGGTAAGTCAGTTCTGTTACTCCGAAATTTCAGCGGGGGCCTTTTGTTAGGTTGTCAAAAAGTTTAGATCCTTTTTTTTTTCAGATTAAGAGAAACTTTCTTTGTTTTGATTAGATGACTTGTAAAGCATTTTTTCATGTTTTTAAGTAACACCAAAAGCAAAATTTAGCAACACACTACCAATATCGAACCTGATAGAGTAACCCGGAAAATCAAATCCCTAATCTGCATTTGAGACTGGAAAATCTGACAAGCCATGGTTTGTGATTTGGGGCTAGTTGGATTCGGTTAAGTGAATCAATCTTGAATATGGCAATGTACAGCTGTATTAAGACTGGGATAATACATGGCTTGGAATGTCTTACGCGAAAATGACCTCTTTGGAAAAGCACAATATCTTCCGGTAAACAATGTATTCTAGCAGCTTCACTGAATGATGCATGCATAGGTGCAGTGGCAGAATGCTGCCGTTAAAGGCAGCTGCTTGGGAAAATTGCAAATGCGCGCTTTCTGTTCCTTCTTGGACTTCCGGATGCACTTAGACTGAGATGTGCTTGAGTCAAAAAGTGATTTTTATGGCGTTCTCTGGCCTTGGAGATTGCTGAGGAGGCTGGAGCAGACATTCCCGCAGCCGAGTCGCGATTGGCTGCCTGGGCCAATCAGCCAATTGCCGCCAGAATTAGTGATGTTATAGTCTTCTTGCAGCCAGTCACTGTTTTTGGCGGGATTTTCCGATCCAGCCCTCTCAGCAATCTTCAAGGCAGGGAGACGCCATAAAAAACACTTTTCTGATTTCCCAAGCACTGCTCTGGTCTAAACGCATCTAGAAGGCCAAGGAGGAACAAAAAGCGGACGGTTGCATTTTTCCCGAGCTATTACCTTTAACACGTTGACGACAGTGCCGCGCAATGGTGCGCGGCGGCGTTAAATTCAATACTATCTGTCCAATCCTCTCAGTTTTTGTTCATATAATCAACATAGGCTCAGATGTACTTCATGTATTAGCCCCGCCCCTTTTGGCAAACTCCGCCCACTCCTGTGTCTCTCACAGGGACCCTTTTTGCCCATAAAAAGCATGGATGAGGCTGTAGGTGAACGCAAAGACCTCAAGCAACTTTTAGCCAGGCCCGGCCCACCGTCAGGCAAACCTCGCCCCTAAGTTGCAAGCTCCGTTCACTTTTCAAAAGTGGCGGAAATCGCATAACTTGAAATTTGGGCAATTTCCGACATTTTTGGTCGAGTGGGCGGAGCTTGTCAGAGGGGGGCGGGGCTTGCACATTTTGTACTTCGTGCATGGATGCATGCATACATACATGGGCCACGCGTAGGGATGCATGGAAATGTCTCGTCCACAGGGACAGACCTCAAAAAAATGGCTCGTCGTCAACGTGTTAATGGGCGGGGTAAAGTAACTTGACCTACATCAGTGCAATATACTCTAGTCCGAACTGAACAAAGTTCTATCATACGAGCTAACAAGGGAAGGATGATCGGTCGAAGTGGCCTTTTGGAATTATCTCTATACTAGAAAACCCTTCCAGGTAAGGCAATCTTAAAACTACTTTCGCTAGTTGCCGAGCAGTTTTTGGGGGGGGGGGGGGGGGGGGAGAGTTATGAGGCCATTTTTCTCCGGCGCAACCGGAGCCGGAGAAAAATGGCCGGTGGTGGCCGGATGGTGGGGGTGATGCGGAGGTTTGGTGAGCTGGGATGCTGGTGGCCCCCTACCAGTGTACCCGTCTGGGTATGTCGGCGGGGGCTGCCGGCGTATCCGTTTGCCGAGCTTCTGCTCCCGCTCCCACTGTTTGGCCACTTTCATGTCTGTTGGCTGGCGAGGGTAAGCGGATATACGAATTCTTTAGTCTAGAAATTACACTACTCGGTAGTATGTCCTTTCAGCTTATTTCTGGTCCCACCCATATGTTGTAGCTTTATGTGCTGGTCAGAAAAAATATTCGGTGGTTTTTTTGTTTGTTTTGTCTTGTGTTTACTACTTCATTTTCATTGCGGCTCTCCTTAGTATCCTCATGTTAGCTGTTTTGTTGGATTGATAGCACGCCGAAGTGCGTATGAATGAATAAATAAATTACAATAAGGACTTCAATAATGTATTAACACTTATAAAATACAACCACAAAATTTTCATAGCAGAATGGCTTCTTGCAGCACATCGGATAAAATGTAAACGATTATACAAGATTATAGCTGATTATAGAAATAGTGACTTTTTGCAGTAAATAGCTTGTTTCAACTGCATAGCAATGAGTATTTCTCGTTTACTGTCACCCAATAGACTTTTAACAAAACTGCAAAACAGAATGCCAGCAACAAGGCTCTAACCTTCGATCATTTGCTTCACAATCCGCTGTCTTGCCACTGCACCACTGCTACAGTTGTTGGGTATTGCGCCTCGGTCATTAGTAGGCGCCCCGGTTGCGCCGGAGAAAAATGGCCTCATAGCCAGGGTCAAGCAAGGGGTGTGGCAAACTATCGCTGGTTACGAACTCCCCTCCCCGATTGTTGTCTTAATAAGACCCCCCCCCCCCCACTAAATTATATACCTAAAACAAGCTGGCTTACCCGGCTCCGCCCGGCCCTGTCAATGCTATGATCAAGATCTTATCCCTATTCCTGTAGAATCCATTGTGCCCACTTCTACATGGAATTCCCTATTCTCGCTGTGTTAGTAATTAGCATGCCCACCTACCTCCCTCAACAACCCCCAGCCCCGTAGCTCAAACTTCGTAAAAAAAGCGATAAAACCGGTAAAAGTAAGGATAATTCTGAAAACTGATGGCGCTATTCGGCTATCCGGCCCCAAAAAGTTTTTGTGATGGATCTTGCTCAAAGTCGGTACATGGGGATTATTAAAGCCGCTGATGACGAATATTGTAGTCATTTTGCACGAGAGCGCCATTTTCTGGGTTTACGTTAGGTACACATAAAAAGCTAAAATCATGGATTTCGCTGAAACTTTGAGGGGGAATTGACATGCTGATTACAAACATCATACTACTTCGGGATTTAGAGACGATTTCACCGAGTCATGGTAGGTATACTGCAGAGGGGCAAAATCTCAGTTTGGCTGAAACTCGGTCTAGAGAGATTCGACCTTCTGACCATATGCAAAACACTCTCGTTGCGTTTTGAGACCTTTTCGCAGAGTTACGGTAGGTACATAGCAGCGATTAAAAATCATGAACCTGCCTGAAACCTTGGCAGAAAATTACCTAAAATGCTGTTTCAAGAATATCGTGTTCAATCTACACGATAAAGGCAATTCGTGTGGTATAAAAGTTTCCCGAGACCGTAGTGCTTTCCCTTATAGGACCACTGCCGCGCGCGATACACCCTTCTACGGCTTTTGCCTAAGCAAAAAAGAGGGAGATTTGCCGCGTGCGTTACACGTTGGGACAGGTTATCAGTTCCCTTATAGGACCACTGCCGCGCGCGATACACCCTTCGGCGGCTTTTGCCTAAGCAAAAACGGGGGGAGGGAGGTTTGTCGCGTGCGTTACACGTTGGGACAGGTTATCAGTTCCCTTATAGGACCACTGCCGCGCGCGATACACCCTTCGGCGGCTTTTGCCTAAGCAAAAACGGGGGGAGGGAGGTTTGCCGCGTGCGTTACACGTTGGGACAGGTTATCAGTTCCCTTATAGGACCACTGCCGCGCGCGATACACCTTTCGGCGGCTTTTGCCCAAGCAAAAACGGGGGGAGGGAGGTTTGCCGCGTGCGTCACGCATTGGGACAGGTTATCAGGATGGCGCTGGAGACCGCCATGCAAAACGACCGTCTCCCCACTTCGTGAATATCTGGGATCTAAATTGGCCCGAAAGCGAAAAAATGTCCATTCAATGACTGCAACTCACCATAACTTCACTATTGCGTTATGACAGCGAGCAAGCTTTATATTCATAAGCGATATACTTGTGAACCGTTACAGGTAAGGTTTTGAGCAAATCTGATTCTTCGACCCATCTACCGTACCCACCGTAACCCAAGAAAATGCACCATCCTGCGAAATCAGCATGATATTCATGTTCAGCGGGCCAAATGACCACCCTAGACGGAGTTTGAGCAAATCTTTTCAATCCCATACCGTATAGCCTCTGGACCGAACTCCAGCCGGTTTCAAGATTTCGACTTCCTACCGCACACCTATCGCAACCACACGGTGAGCTTTCTGCAAAGAAAGTGTGATATCTGTAATCAGCATGTAAGATAACCCTTACAGACGAAGTTTGAGCAAGCTCTAAATGACCACCCTAGACACAGTTTAAAGTGATTCTATGATTTCGACCTCATGCCATATAACCACCATAACTCTATGAAAAGGTCCCAATATGAAGAGAGAGATGATATTCGTGATCAGCATGTCGGATAAGCCATATTAACCGAACTCCAGCCGAATTCATGATTTTGACTTCCTATACACCTATCGTAACCACACGGGAAGACGCTCTGCGGAGAAAGTGTGATATTTGTAATCAGCATGTAAGATAACCCTTATACACAAAGTTTGAGCAAGCTCTACGACAAAAAAATTTTGGGGCCCGGATAGCCGAATAGCGCCAATCTAATATCGATCGTAATCAGCATGCTCGATTACCTTCCTGTGCCAACTCCCAGAGCCGCAGCCCAAACTTTGCAAGAAATCGATAAAATCGATAAAAGCAGTGGACGATTTCAAAAACTAATACTGCGTAATCAGCATGCTCGATTACCCCCGTGCAAATTCCCAGCCCCATAGCCCAAACTTTGCAAAAAAAATCGATAAAATCGATAGAAGTAATTGATGATCCTTAAAACTATTACTGTATTCGGAATCCCCATGCTCGATTACCCCCCTGTGCAAACTCCCAGCCCCGTAGGTGAACTCTGCAGAAAAATCGATAAAAATCGATAAAATC